AATGATATTTAATTTTTCCAGTTCAACCATATAATGAAAAATGTCAAATCTTAAAACATTTAAAACACATACAGACCAACTGACGTTTATCCATTTTCGATATTGTTCAATATTTTACGAGTGGGGTGTAGCGTGTATCATTTGAATTTYACATTATTAAGTGTTATATTAACTTGATTATATTGATATTGTCAGAATTGCATATTATATTAGTACTTGAGAAATATTGCTGTTTGTGTATGTAGGTACCTATTTGTTTTAACATTAAGTGTTTTCACATAGGTATTCTAGTTTGTGCCAATTTTACATAAAAATTACAAAAACCACTAAATAAGTAATATAAATTAATTATTGATGTAGTATAATTGTTTGGATGAATAAATTATCAACAGCTATAGCCCATAGACCATAATATAGTAAAGTTAATCAAATGTACCTGGAATATTATCTGATTTGTATTGTTATTACCTAATTAATTTAAGCATAGATAATTTTTCGATTTTCTACTATTAACTACAGAAACCACCCAAAATTGTTGAAAATAAKGTATGGTATCAGCTGAGCCCTATGCTGTGTAATGTTTTTAGAAGACGATTATTGCTTTTAAACGTTATATATCATAGGTATCCATTGGCGTAATTTGGTCATATTTGTGTGGGGGGGATTTAAACATTAACATTCCTCTCCCAAAAAACAAAAATTGCATTATATCAAATTAAGCACTACCAAATACAACCATTATTGTGATCCATAAGTCAAAAGGTTATAGGTTATAACATTGGAAGTAAGCCCCGATCAACAAATTCTAATTACATAATTGTTCTTAACTCGATGAAATGCATAGGTTTCCGAAATAATTTCCTAAAATTACTTGAAAACTTAAATGCATTGTTATGCCTTAGTAAGCCGGTATATATATATATATATATATATGAAATAGTCATTTTTGTTATTACGTAAGTAATATTATTATCTTAGTTATGTACAGCTAGCATGGGGAAGTCTTTTTTTTATGTATTATTATTTATTTTAAAAA